TTATCAGCTTTGTACGGCACATTTAGAGTGTAGGAACTTCTTAATCTTTAGCCGTGTCATGAGAAAATTTTCACAAATGTGCTGCGCTTGTCTGGAATTTGAGTTATTTCTTAATTCGCGCATGTTTTTCAGTTTTATTTTCTCTTGGTAACTTCAATTAGAACAAGAATTCGGAGATATCATACCTCCGTTAAACCATCATGTTTAAAAGTCACAACTTTTAGGAGGGTTTGGAAATCTATCAGGAAAAAGGGCTCCTAAACAATGACTGTGCAACGTAACTCGTTTGCAATATCCTTTTCCAAATCCCTTCTTTGTCGTGCAAGGTAAAAACACCAGCTGTCAACTGTCAACGAGGTCATGTAATGAAAACACGTCCTTCAAACCAGCAAGCGGGAACAGAGTCGTGAACTCAACCATAGCCATTACGTACTGACCTAAGGGCCATGCGGAAACACAGACACACACACGGAGACACACAAACATAAACATACCAAAAACAATACCTCCATTTTTCAAGGATGGAGGTAATCACTGTCATTTTGACTAACATGCTCACCTTCAAACTAACGTGGCTAGCTTTTCACGGTTCCCAACCATAGCCAATACAGATTTCATCACAACCTAACCTACGGGCCATGCGGAAACGCAGACACAAACACAGACATACCAAAAACAATACCTCCATTTTTTCCTGAAGGTAATTACTGTCATTCTGACTAACATGCTGACATTCAAACCAACGCGGCTAGCTTTCCACGGTGCTTTAAGTTTAAGAACTATTGCAAATCTAGTTACAGAAAAAAACGAGAGCTCTCGAAAACCGGCTCAGGGGTTTTCTGTACAGGACTTCACGGATAACAATATCAAATGTTTCAGATTCAAGCTCCCGGTTGTTCGCCCATGTTTTCATGTGCTGATATGAATACAACAGCCTCTGTGTGTCCCATGCGCCATCAGTCAGAGCTCACTCAAGCTTAGGTGGGATTTTTCCCCTCCCCGCCTCTGGCAGAGACGACAATCCCTGCACGTACACCTAACGTACATCACACATGTGACAGGTAATAATGGAATCCTCAGCGGACACTGGATATCGATGTACACAATTTGTGAACAAAGACATAGTATCAGAAGTTCGTCATCTTACGTTTGACGCGTATGTGAAGGCCGGATTTGGAAAGACGAGATATCCCCACCCCACCGTCTTTCACTGCAGGAAATCATATATATAACTAGAAGGGTAACATTTGCAGAGCAAATGCATCATGTTTACCTTCGCATATGGTCTGCTCTGTTAATTCTTACTCAAACACATTCACATATATTGTGACAGGAGTCTAAATCCCTCCTACTATAAATTGCAACATTATGTAACCCAACACCAGTTACCATGGTGAGAGACAGTATGGTCAATGACCAGGTCAGAGGTCAGTGTTTGGAACGGAAGAAGAAGAAACGGAGCAAAAACAATATGTTTTTCTTCGGTACACATAAACACACCTTAAAGCATACGTAAAGCTACACGCGGATGATAGAACGGAACCTTTACGCCTGATTTAAGCTAAGGCTTGCTCAAAGAATTGATTTTTTGCAGCGCTTCCTATTTTAATAGCCTTACATAAAGCAAGATTTCTGTTCTGTTACATGATAATAAGACTCCTTTGTGGATTGTTTCACACAACGTCATTTTTAAAGGGTAGACATGTACACAACCTTTGCAACAATAGAACTTGCCAATGATATTGTAACCTAATACGACATTTTATAACAATGATACAAATGTCCTCTTCAATTGTATACAAGTTCCCTAGCTTTAGATATTTAGATGGCACAGAAAAAAACATATTCCTCATACAACTCGATAAGCCATGTATTATAAGATCCATCTGTTCTTACACTTACACTTACGCAACTGTCTAAGAATCGAAAAGTACATATTCGTGCACTATAGATGTACTAAGATACCAGACTTGTATCACTGTTATTCTACATAGAAATTTATCACCATGGCCTGTATTTATCCTGTAAAGGCATCAATATTCAATAATTAGGTCTTTCATTCATTTTATAGATGTACGCAACAAATCCAAATGCACGCAAATTATGCTTAGTGACCTAGTTCTGGGCTTAAGATGAAACAATGTCGGCATGGACAAAGAGAATAATGCATGAGTAATTGGACGTGTCTTTCTGTTGGCGGTATCTATTCCAAACAACTGCATTCTACTGTATGGCCTTTATATCAATAAAAGAGACATACTGAAAACTTACATGCACAGTATTACACCCAAAGTGGCTAAATGCTTAGTTACTATACGCCAGCATCCCCTATACGAAGCGCCTACACGAATCGAGACAAATTCGAGTTGATTTTGAGTCACATTTGACTGCCAACCATGCCCAGAACAAAGGTAAACCAACTCCCAACTACCAGCCAACCGGTCCCCAACCATGACCCAACCTCCGGTCCACTCCCGAATAATGTTTGAAACATTTTTAAACGTTCGGCTGGCGCAGCCAAAAAGTGGCCAACCTGGCCATGCACCAGCCAACTACAGCCGACCTTGCTCCCGACTTATTCCCAACTATGCATGTTGTGGGGAGTTCGGCAGTGCTTTGGACGCCATCCGGCTATGTGTGACAGGGGCTATCCCTCACCTACTGTCGTACAGAAAGGGCGCCACCTTCACGAAAATGACGACAGTGATCTAAAATTTGGTACTATATAGGCATTAATATAGAAGGACTCATTGCTCATGGGCATTCCACGAAATGAAAACTATGCTCCCGTTGTTCCCAGTGGGACAGAAAAGTTTTTGATTTACTTTACACCGTACGTGTGCAAGCGGCATATAGTGAATAAATGAAGACCTTCATTGTACATTTTTGTCCCACCGGGCTATACAAACACAGTTCACAAATAAAGTTTATATGTTATAAACGTCTAGAATACACAAGTACTTTCGACTTCCTCTCGCTTCTTGGTAATCACATAAATGCGTACGATTAGTTAGAGCTGTACGATTAGTTAGAGCTGGTTTACCGAAGACTGTAAGCAATATAAATTTCTCTATACTACTCAAATACTTAAAATGGGAAAATGCTTTTTTCACTGCCATACAAAGAACAATCCACTACTAGAAAAGTAAGATTTGCAAAGCAAATGCATAATGTTTACCTTCGCATATGGTCTGCTCTGTTAATTCTTACTCAAATACATTTACGTATATGGTGACAGGAGTCTAAATCCCTCCTACTATGAAATTGCAACATTATGTAACCCAACAAATTAGTCAGTAATTGTAATAGCAATTGTCCAGGTCGGAGGTCACTGTTTGGAGAAGAAGAGGAAGAGGAAGAAACTGAGCAAAAACTATATTTTTTCCTTTGGGTAAACATATTAAATATAGAAGATAGGAATATATAGGATAAATATAGAAGGTACCGGGTCCCAGAACGTGCCTACCTCTACAAACAAAAACGCTATCGCAGCGATTTGTCAAATGGGGAAAATCATCCTCAGAGGCCGGCGTACCGACACCGCAGGGACCAATTCACGTACGCGGACTGATTTATCCTCCAAATGAGATACAAATGAGAGAAAAGAAGGTCACGGGAACACATCTGTCATTGCGGGGCTGTGTGCGTATTCATCACATTGATTTTCATGGAAGCGATAGTACGTAAGCCCTAGGGGAAAAAATGTTGTGTTTCCTGTTCCCCGACCGACCCTAGAAAAAACTGCCGACCCTAGTCTTTTTGTGTGGACCCCTGCAAGGGACATTTTTCAAGCTGATCGACCTTCTCTAGCTCCATGATTTGACACCTGAGTTATGAAGTATTGTACGATTTCGTTTATTTCGATACCCGGGGTTCAAAACATACGAACATACTAAATTAAAAGATATACAGGTTAAAAAAAACGATCATGACTTGACTTAATATATACAACTTAACTTACAACTGGTGGATGGCCTTTTTGAATTGATGTGGACTGGTCAGTGTTTTGATACAGTGTTTTCAAACATTGACATTGAAAATACAAGTGTCCACATGCAAGGTTTACTTTGTTTAACTGTATTGTATACGTTAGACCACCAGTTGGATCGCTAGAGATCGCCAAATTAAAAAAAAAAAAGAATAAAAAAAAGATAATCCCTACCTACTGACCCTAATTTTTTTCAAGACTGAAACAGGAAGCACAGCATGTATTTTCCTAGGCCTAGTAGGGTTTAATGTTGCGTAAAGAAGGCTTGTAGAATGCGGTGACCGGGCTAATTTATATGTTGGCGGTCAGCCCTAAATGTCATTTGGTGGGTCAGAATGTGACCCAGAACGGTACATAAAGGATAAAGTCTAGTCTCCTGAGTATGCTGGGATTTTTTGCTTAGAATATGCATGTAGGGGGCCTGCATGCACGTTTTCTAAGGCGTAATCAGGCCTTTTTAGTCTTCGTAATCCGGCAGCCTCAAAAAAAAATCAAAAATTCGTAATAGTACATTAGCCTCAAAGCGTCAAGTCGTAATCAGCTCTGAGACTCAAACGTAATTCGTAATGGGCGGGGAAAAAATTTGCGTAATTCGTAATCACTACCCCCCCATGCAGGCCCTCATATAGGCCAAGAACTAGCACTAATTTGAGGTCATTTGACCGGTCGCACTACATTATCTATATACCACATTTGGGCCAATTCGCACCATTTAGTGAGCACATGGATCATGGATAGTAATGCTAAAATAGGCGTCGTCTACAAAGTGTGCACTGTGAACGCAATAGATGCTATCGTTCAGTAAATCGCAAGAGGGCGCTGTGAATAAAAATACAAGCATCATTTCAATGGGTAACGACAGAACAACGAGACAGAATACCAACAACCAATTGTCACAACTGACCCCCACAGAAAACATTATTTACATGGACTTTAAACGCTTCCCTGTCCTGCCTAACACCGTGAGGCACACGTTGAGAGACATGCTAATATTTACCGAAAAATAGGTCAGGTGACAGGTCGTACAGGGTTCAAGGAGGAATTCATTAACACAAGTTACGGGGCCTCAGTTAGCAAATAGTGGTTACCTTGATACTAGAGACATTGGACTGGCACGATGTCGCTAGGACATGGAGGCCCTACCAGTGATACAAGTGTTGCACAGAAGACAGAAGGAGGAAAAGGTAAGACGTCACTTTGTTTACTATTATAACATACCACACGTTTTATCAATAGTCTGTCATATGTCACAAGTTTGTATGCTTTGCGAAAAATACAGAGAGAACACAATCGATCAGACATTGCAGACTTCACTAATGCTTTGTGATCCTTCTAGTTTCAGAGAGAAAATTGCAACACTGGGGATGTATCATACAGCTGCATTCTGTTCGTTTTTAAGAACAGCAGACAAATTTGTGACAATTTTGCAATCCCTTGGGGCCCGTGGGTTGAAGTACGTGTATTAAGTGAACTATGGCCAAAAGCACAACACTGTTTACATACATGTGATGCTAGCGTTATGTGGATTGTAATGCTCTTGTTTTGAACACTATGTAATGTGTGACGTACAACGTTAAGTGTTATTTAAGCCTCTACCGGACTTCATTAGAGAATAGTGACTGGAAAGAGTAGATATTGTCCAAGTAGACAGACAACATGCCAGGGGAGTTGGTCCACCTTTTGTGGTTTATTACAGGACCAACTCCCCTGGCATGTTATCTGTCTATCTGGCCAATTTCTACTCTTTCCAGCCGCTTCTCAAGCCTGGTACAGGCTTTGTTACTAGCCCTGAATGACCCTCAATGGAATGCAGTGACCCAACAACTGACCTCACACCGTCGGTGTTCCCTTTTCGCAGAAGAGCTGTGCCTGTACTCGGCCCCTGCTGTCCGCACACCGTCCGTACAGCAGCTGTCCCGGGCAGCAGCCAAGCTGAACCTGCAGCTGGATGAAGAGGAATTACAGCAGTTCAGGGGTGTGTAACAACTAAACAAGTCTTAGTATAGATCGGTATAGATGTATGCCATTGAAAGGAAACGACTTATTTTCAATGCTTGTATTTCGATATTTTGCACTTTTAGTGCGTTTCAACAGTAAATGCTGTTCATATAGCATCTATAAGCAATATCACAAAGATTTTGAAGCAACTTTAACTGTAATTTCCAACACGAGAAATTGGACCTCCAAGACGGGGGGCGCCACAGACTGCCACGTTTGATCCATTGCTCACCGAGTCACGTGAGTCATCTGCATAGCGTGGCGTCACAGAAGCGGAGCACGTCGGCAGAACGTACTGCGCCCGTATTTTCGGTTTTTGGTCAACGTTGCATCAGAATTTTGCCTGTTGCAGAGGATATTCTTTCCGACACAACATTTGGAAGCTACTGTCGAAATGCCAACCTTATATGAGCGAATACAACCTTATATGAGACATTCTGCCGAAATGCTATGTACAATACACTACGGGTTTCGCGCAGGTGCAGTACGTTCTGCCGACGTGCTCAGAAGCGGTGGATTGTTCATTTCTTAATAAATACTTGAGTTGTACAGTCGAAAACTTGTTCCAATTTATTGTGTTGGAAATTACGCATATATACAAGTTGCTTCGTAGTGACTTCTACCGACACAGATAAATTTATTTATATCACAAATATTAGTATGCGAAGGCAGTAATATAGACGGTATAACATCTATAGAAGTACCTTTTCCTTGAAATATCTTGTCCCTACCGTCAGATGTTATGCAGGGCACGGTGGCGTCCTACCAGCGGGTTGACCAGCTAGTGGAGCCGGTACCGCCCGTCAGGTGGCCGCGGATCCCGGGCTGGCGGCCTGAACCTGAGGAGAACCCGCACAACGCATGGTAAGTCCACGGTCAATATATCCTTTACATGTGGTAAACGTTATCATAACATGCACCTTCAAGTTTCCCTTGTTTTAAGGTTGACAGGTTCTTGGTTGGTGTTCGGGAGTAGGTACGTGCTCGGGGTCAGATTTAAGTCAAATTTAAGTCAAATTTAAGTTCGATTTGACTAAAATTTAAGTTCATTTTCAGTCAAACCTAAGTCCCATTACAGTCAAATTTAAGTGCAAGTTGGGTCAAATTTAAGTCAAATTCGAGTGGAGATATATATTGTATATTATAGGGTAGCGTTAGAATAAGGTATCTAGAAGTAGATTTTAGTATTGTTGCTATCTTTTGATTTAAACACTTGCCATACATTGTATCCATTGCAATTGTTGCGCAATAAAGATTGATTGATTGATTGATTGATTGATTGATTGATTGATTGATATCAGGGAGGGCCTCGAGTGCGGGGAAGATCAGGGAGGGCCTCGAGTGGGGGCAGAATCAGGGAGGGCTACGAGTGGGGGCAGGATCAGGGAGGGCTACGAGTGGGGGCAGGATCAGGGAGGGCCTCGAGTGGGGGCAGGATCAGGGAGGGCCACGAGTGGGGGCAGGATCAGGGAGGTCCTCGAGTGGGGGCAGGATCAGGGAGGGCCTCGAGTGGGGGCAATGATCAGGGAGGGCCTCGAGTGGGGGCAGGATCAGGGAGGGCTACGAGTGGGGGCAGGATCAGGGAGGGCTACGAGTGGGGCAGGATCAGGGAGGGCCTCGAGTGGGGCAGGATCAGGGAGGGCCTCGAGTGGGGGCAGGATCAGGGAGGGCTACGAGTGGGGGCAGGATCAGGGAGGGCCTCGAGTGGGGGCAGGATCAGGGAGGGCCTCGAGTGGGGGCAATGATCAGGGAGGGCCTCGAGTGGGGGCAGGATCAGGGAGGGCCTCGAGTGGGGGCAAGGATGAGGATCAGGGAGGGCTACGAGTGGG